ATTCTGCAAGGCATAATTCAAAAAAATCCTGAATTTCCACTAGTGGGATCCATGCACACATTTTGGATAGTAGTTGTACATGTGGTTTAAAGGGCAATAAAATGTAATTATAAATAGATGTATACTGTTACGAACCTGGAGCTACTTTGGATAAATGAATGTTTCACGTTACAATTTGAAATTATTCTAGAAAGGAAAAAGGGTAATTTAGGTTTATTTATTTCGATTTTTATCGGTATTTACGAGGTTGGTCGAACTGACCGATCCAGTTTTGAGAAAATAATAGATAAACTAAAAAAGTTTTACAGAAAAAAAACTTTTCAAATGCACACTTAGGAGGTTTTAGGGATTGCACAAAAAATATGAGATGAGGAAAAGTATTTTTAATTTTAACATGAAAATTACTTTGCACCTGGACTATTCAAAACCAATGTTTATGGACAGATCTTTATTTTATTAAAATGTGATTTTTTGTATGTGACAGAATTGTAATATTAACTAAAAGACTGCCAAATTTCGTGAAGATATACACACTATATTGAAAGTTATAAGTATTAAATATATAAAGATTTGAAATGAGTAGAAAAAGGTCATGTGATTGGTCAAATAAACCGAGCCTGTATTGAGAGTTAACAGCCACTTTCCTTCCCTCACACCTCTTCAGCAAAAATATTTGCATAATACTGCACTTTCCATCTCCATACTTTTGTTGTGTGTGCATCAAACTTTACTTTCTCTCCTATTATAAGGGGGGGGGCAAGGTTTGGTCATGAATAGCGCTAACTATAGCTTTGCTCCTGGTAATCTTTCTACTCGGTGCATCCATGACCTGTAAACTTTTCCTGGGTCTAGTTTTACAGGTGGTGAGCTTAAAGTAGTTAAAGGAAAGAAACAATACTTAATTAATTAGTTTACACAAATATTTGATAAAGAAATGAAAAGCGTAATGTTAATAATGTAATCATGTGATGTCACAACTTCTTAGCCATGTGCCATCTGGTGTTGACGTATTCATATGATGTCAACCCTCTACTAGCAAATCGCCATTAACAACACTTCATGCAAAGCTACACTAGGGCTATCTGCACTAGCCATCCCTAATTTAGCAGTGTAAGACTAGAGGGAAGACAGCTATTCATCACCACCCACCACCAACTCTTGGGTTACTCTTTTACAAATGAATAGTGGAATTGACCATCACATTATAACGCCCCCACGGCTGAAAGGGCGAACATGTTTGGTGGGACGGAGATTAACCCGTGACCCTCAGATTGCGAGACAAGCTCCCTAACCACCTGGCCATGCTGGGCCCAAGGAGGGAATATTCTCCAAAGCAGCCAAAATCGAAAGCATAAAGGAAATAACAGGAACTACCGAACAAATATAGCAAAACCAGATCACAAAATACATAGGGAAAATGGTGACCACAGGCCAACAATATGTGAAACAACAGGGACAGCAAATAAAATAACGAATCTGTCGACAAAGGTTAAAATGAGGAATTACAAAAGGAAAGCCAACATGGGGTTCCAAATTCTGGAGAGAAGCCAAGCAGGGAGTAAGGAGCAATGGAGAATGAACGAAATAAAATAGTCAGGAAACGAGGATGTAACACAGAAGCAAAACCAGGAAACCGAAAATGGAAGAAAAACTGCCTAAACGCCAAAACAGGGGAAAAAGATGGGTCCTGTGAGAATGCTAAGTGAAAATGAAGAGCATGGTGAATGGGAATAATGAAAGGATGATAACCTAGGTGTATAGATCAACTACATCAGGAAAATGTCAAAAGAGAAAGCATGAATTGTACGGGAAAACCAAGGAAGCAATATGCCTGGAAAACCTGACTTTCCAGTGAGGGACAACATAAAAGCCATGCATGAAGATGGAATAAATGGACATCTCACACCGTAGTATGGCTGATTAAGAATATGAAGAGGAGGCAACACCAAAAACATTACAGGAAAGGAAAATAAGTGAGAGTCGGCCAAGATGGTGCCACCAGCCAAACTCAACACAGAGAGATTGGAACCATTTGAGAGTACACAAGTAAGAAGATGAATAATCAGACAAGTATAGGGGGATGACTTGTCCAGTCCTAACAGAGAACATCCACTGCACCTGCCAAAGAATGAGGAACAGGAGCCCCTAAACGGATAAGGTATGCATTGGGATGAGATACAAAACATCCAAACTGGGGACATCCCAAAGTGCAAACTACACCTGAAAAACTAGAGGATTCAAAGACTACTCCAGCAGGAGAACCCTGTTGGGATGGGATAACCAATCCACGGCCAGATTCATGGACTCCTGAGGACGACATGCCTACCAATCACTATAATGATGGTGGGCCAGTAGATCCAAATTTTGAAAACAAAGGACACTCAGCCAGATACCCCCCCCCGCATTGTAATGGAAGACCTTACCCCAGAATTGTCAGAGTGAAACATCACCACCTTGTCCCAAAAAGCCAGTAGAAAGATTCTGTCTGATGAACAGCAAGAAGTGTCAAGAGAGTGATATGGAGAGCAGAGTCGAAAAGTTTCCCACCCCCAAATCTCCCAAGTGTGGAGGGATGCTCCCCATATAGAAAATATGCCTCCAGAAAAAGTGACAATCCAGATGAGGTGAAGGAAGAGGAACCCCAGCAGCAATAGAGGCCCTATCCAACTAACATTCAATAGAGACTGCTAGTGAGGGGAAAGGGTAAGAGGAGCATCCAAGGGAACCCAAACAAGGCAACATCTTGTGATTCAAATACCCATAGAGAATGAGAGAAGGAGAGTATGTTGGTCCCAACCAAGAATTGAGATGAAAAACACCCCCCCCCCCAAAAAAAAACAACTAGAAACTGATCAGATGTGATGAATGAAATCCCCATCATAATGACCCAACCTACACTGGCAGCATCCTAAAGAAGAAATTGAGTACATGGAGAGTAGATATGGCCAGTGAGGAAGCTATAAGTATCCAGCCATCTTTGGAAAAGTGTACACTAAACTCAGAAGTAAGCAGAGTGGCAAAGGTCTACACCATTCAGCTGAACCCAAAGAGAGCTGAGAAAAAGCCAAACAAAAAAACACACACCTATGAAGAACAAACAAAGAAAATTGTCTGGATGCTACTGATATGGGAATATGGAGCCATGTACCCGACACGTATACCTACATCATTCACAAAACACGAGTGAAAACCCTTAACAAGAAGGATCTCATCACAGAATAGACCCTGGAGCAGTAAGATCTAGCCACCCCTGACTTATGCTGGGCAGAAACGGGATCCCACTGATGGTGAAATAAAATGGATGGTGATAAAACAGGAGGGGGGAGACAAGTGGAAAATGAATTATAGAGACTTGCTGAAACAACCCTGGTCTCCAAATAGGCAGGAAGACCCCAACACCTCGTGATAGAAAAATGATGTCATGCACAATACAGTTAATGAAGAGGAGGGTAAAATAACTCTAAAGAAAACAGGATCATGACCTAGCAGAACCCAACATCATAGCAGCCACATCAGGAAAATGAGGCTGAAGAGGAAATGTGCGTCATTATAGCAAAAAGGGGATGACTAAGACCAACAGAAAAACAATATAAGAAAACCATAGAACCATTCCAATTAAATAGCAAATGAAGGATAAAGCACAGACAATAATGGATAGTGGCTTAAATGAGCAGGAAAGTTTCCACTGTAGGAAACACAACTGAATCATAAGAGTCTGAACACCAAATTGGAAGATATGTGCTTTTGATTAGAGCAAAGTCGCATTGGGCTATCTGCTGCACCCACCGAGGGGAATCGAACCCCGGATTTTGGCATTGTAAATCCGAAGACTTACTACAGTCCCACCAAGCGATGCCCACATTGAAAAACCAACAAAACCCAAAAGGTGTGAGGCAAATTATGGTTAGGTGGAACAAGAAAAGCAAAAACATGATAGGCCAACATACATGGGAGAAAAAGCATAACAACAACTAAACACAAGTGTACCCCAAAACAACGACCATGAACTCCATTATCTGGGTAAGAAAGAAAGCCAAAGAAGACATAAAGATTAATCCCGAAAGAGTGCAAGGATAAAATCCAAGGAGACAAAAAAAAAAGTAATATACCTGAGGAAACAACAGCTACAAAGGGCAAAGAGAGCCTAGGTAAGGCCCCCCAAAACAACACGTGACGGAAAAAAAACTGTCTTAAGTCACCTTCACCCATTCAGACACACCTAGGCGCTGATACCACAGGTTATACAGTATGTTGCCAAAAATGGTACAATTCCAAACGGAACATAGCCGTGATACCCACAACTGACAACTGTGTTATCACCCCCAAAACTCAAACGGGAAATCCGCCATAGCAGTAACATAAGTGGTAGTTGTGGCCACCCAAAACTGAGTGCATAACTCACAAAGTCGAAAAATTAGAACAGGGAGAGTAGATAATAAAAGTTAAATTGTGACTCTCTACTAAAAAAAAAAAGGGAAAAACGGCAGTGACTAAATTAGAACACACTTGAAAGTAAAAACACGTGGATACAATAATTAAATCACGATCAAAAGAAGTACATCTGTACAATATGGCTGTCAATCATGAAATTAGTATGTCAATACCACTGTCACATATAGTTATCAATAATAATATTGTACCTCTTCCATAAAATTCATTAAGTCAATACTACATTGTCACATAAAATTCACAAAATAAATACTTCATGTTTAAGTTAATACTATAGTCATATAAACATCCCAAAACCAAGACACTAAGTATATTAATAAATTCAATATGTCAATAATATGGGACAATATAAAGATATTAAAAATCAATACGTCTCTTCTTCCTTAACATTTGGGTTGTTGGTGAACCTGGTTTCTTCATTTGTTGAGAGATTACATTCAGTTGTTGACTATAACAATTATACATTTAGTTATTGTACAAAATTACCTTCCAGCATTTTCTTCAATATTTCCTTAAGTTCACTGGATGAAAACAACGAATCATACAAGTTACAAAACAATGTGCAACTTTTTTCTTTATTTTGTATATATAATTTATTTATTTTTCATATGACTGTATGCACAACATAAAATGACTCAATACAAATTTTAGATTTTACATTCTTGATATCTGATGTTAAGTGATGTACAGTGGAAACTCTGCTTGTCACTCCAACTTCTAGGAAAGATGAAGCAATTCACTAACAATGTCCATGCTCATTGGACAGGTGTTATCTATTATCTGTCAATTTCCTTGCTAAATCGTCTCTGAACACATTCTCTGTAAAAATCAAACACCTTCATCGAGGCTGAGCGGCAGATCTCAAGACATTTCTTAAATTCAGTTTCACTATAACTTCCTTGGGTGTTGGATGTTATAACCTCATGATTAATGCTTTCGAAAGCAAAAGTGAAACACGCTTTAGCTTCCTACAGAAACAAACCCAATATAACTGTTACAAAACTTCAGGGTTATTCCATTAATTCCAAAACAGGTTATTACATTCTGAAACAGTCAATTAGGTCATTATTTACAGCTCTGAGCTAGATAATAAAAATAAAAACAACAACATAATGTCTACTTTTTATCTATCAGGCACTCAACTTATAAAAAAAATATGAATAAATTACAATACAAGATAAATCTTGTTGTTTAATTACAACACAAGGCATATTGTTTACTTGCAACACAAAGTGTCTTGGTTGCTAAATATACATAATAATAATACTGATAAATATATATGTTGTGTTTGGGTGTGAGTATAATACATGCATTATATTTTGTTTTCTTCTAGTGTACATTTTTCAAGTTTCAGTTCAAAAATTTAATATAATTACCAAAAAAGAACAAAGTGCCAACATATAAAATCTTCATTCCTTGATGTTTTCTCTAAACAACAATACTGAATAAATCAATAAATTTTATCACAAATAGTATTTGTATTATTTATTAAAATTCAGTTCATTCTTAAAACATGTCCATTTCCACCAAAACTACACTTTCATGTGACTAGCTCATATAACCATTGGTTAACCACCACAGAAAGTATTTTAATTTATTTAAATTCAGAATTAGTAAAAAATATTTTTTCCTTCATTACTAAGTGATTATTATTACAATATATCTTGGAAAATTTTGACTTAACTTACTCTGTAAAAGCAAGAACATATTTTGTGAGAAGTTAGAGCATATTTGACAATGGATTCATCATGGGGAAAATAAAGTCTAATAATGAAGATGAAGATTGTTGATGAAAAACAACACCTAAATTTGGAATACATTTATTCCATCTTCAGCAGAATCTAAAAATAGTGTTACAAATATATATATTAACTACAACTATAGTATCATTAATCACTAGTTAATTACACATGTAAAACTCAACTGTTCCACAATATGTCCATTTTTATTTATTTTTATTCTTCCATTTACCACTTTTACTCAATAACTAAGTAACTAATGGTTGATGATACTATAGTTGGAGTTAATAAATATATTTTTAACACTATATTCAGATTTCCCTGAAGGTGGAATAAGTGTATTCTGAAACATTTGAACCTTGTGAATAAAATGTTGTGTTTTGTCAACTGTATTCATCTTTATTTGGTAAATGCTATAGCTAACAAAACATCTAACAAAGAACACGTTTTTTAATTTCTTTTCAGGGACATTGTGCTACTATATTAAATGTAAAAAACACTAAAACCAACATTTGTTGACACAACAAAATGCAAAATCTTTATTAGTAGTTATAGCTGACTTACTTTCGATAACACACAGTTACCATCATATTTCTTGAAAAAATTCTTCATTCAACCTGTAAAAAACCTGATTATAGTTCCCATGACTGTCTTACAGCCTCCACCAATGTACATCATCTCTATTTCTAATTATTACATCATTATCTTGCAATATATATTTGTAGAATGATATATTTTACCTCTTCCTGTTTTAGACTTGGATCAAGTAGAACGTCTCCCTCTGTTGTAATAACAGCATTTAGAGCAGCTACTAAACACTTCATCGCTAAACCTGCATCCATCAAAGCCATACAGGCACTGTTGATACAGCATGCTAGAAGCTAGGGATGTTTTTGTTAAGGAAAGATGTTGAATTTTATGACTTTAATATTCTAAGAATCCATGAGAATGTAGTAATATCTCAACGACACACACACTACGTCTGCCAATGAGGCCTTTCACCCACAGGGTTCATTGAGACAGTGGCTATAAGAACAGTTATGATGGTCTAGACCAGCGCTTCCCAAACTTCAGTCATTCGCATACCACCTTCACGATTTTTGCCATATCTATGTACCACCTGTACTATTACTTGCGTTTTACTTAATATTTTTCTTTAAATCGACTCATTTTTTATTAAAATAAATTAATTTTAAAAGGAAATTTCATAACACTGGGATAAATGGAAAACCAGTATCACTTACCATATTCATTTCAAAACAATATGTTTCTCATCTCAAAATGACATTGTTATAACAACGTGGACCAGATGACGCACATGCCCTCTGAATAAAGCCAATGTTTAATTGTTGGCAAATAATGTAATAACCATGTTAAAATATGTTTTCTTTGAATTTCGTTTTAATGCACATTAAAATAAATATATAACTATTAAAATAAAAAAGTCGTCTGCATACCACACAAAATTATTTCTTGTACCACCAGAGGTACGCATAACACACTTTGTGAAACACTGGTCTAGGCACTATATGTACCATCAATTTTTATGAAGAAGAAATATTATGATATTAACATCATTAAACAAGTGAATTGTAATTATTATCAATTTATATTTAAACCTTTCACCACAGAAAGCAGCTATGGTCAATGGATGATTAATTGTCTTTAACAGCAAAGATTGACTTTTCTTCAACGTTGTCAAAAAATTTTTACCCTCTACAGCATAAAAGTGACAATCTTCCATGAGCTTGAATCAACCACTAGACACCAAGTGTGCTGACATCTGTAAGCATGAGTGGGAAACACAAGTACAACCAATCTCTCTGATGAAGCCCCAGCTGGCAGACAACGTGATGCATCCATGCACAGAGATATCAGCTGATTGTCATATTTTCTCTGTGTTTTTATTATAATTTAGTTAAGTTATTGATGCCATAATGTCAAGGTATGCAATGTGTGTCATATATATCACAACTTATAGTAATACAACAAAATATACTGCTAATTTACAATGTTTCTTGATGAAGAAATGACAATGATAGGAAAATAACCGTGAAATCGAATTACATGGGGAAAGGGTTAAATTATTTACTAATCACATTTTTATGGTAGCAATTGATAACACAATATTAATTTTATTTTTAACTTTAATGCCAGTTATTTATTTCATTTATTATTATTTTTTATTCTATTCAAATTAACTTTACTATCATTCATAAAAATAACAGTGGCCATGGGAGAAAATTAATAATTTTAAGAACCCATGAGTGAAAGCAAAGGAGAATACACTGTAACATGGCAACCAAACTTTATCTGTCATATCCACCATCAACAATACTATTCACCCAATACTAGGGCTCGTCAGACTGCCTGAAATACTTCTTACTCAGTTAATTCAGGAAAAGATGTTGAGTTGTTGGAATGAGTTCAAAGAAGAGTTACCAGAATGGGTTATCATTTGGAATAGGTTGAAATTTCTTCACATTTTGTTGCTGGGGAAGAGAAGAGAATAAGAGGACATGATTGAGATTTTCACTGTTGTTAGATGTTTAGAATCAAATAAATCCAGATGATGTTCCATAAAAATAAAAACCCTGTTAAAGCAGTGTTACTTTTCTAATAGGACAACAAGCTTATGTAGTAGTTTGTCTTTAAGTATGGTAAAGCAGCAAAACTAAAAGAGCTAAAGAAAAAATGGAATGAGTGTTAGATAAACCAGGGTTGGATTTAGAAAAAGATGTTTTTATATAGTTTGGAAGATGTTAGCTGGATGAAATAGGATAGTTAGGATGAGCCACATGGCTCTTTATTAACACTTGGATTAAAAAAAAAATCTGCATGTTTTTTTTTATATATATACATACAACAAGTAAGTGCTGAATCATTAGAAAGAATGCATAAACAAAACATATTAGCAGTATGCATGAATGAGCTCAACTTAAGAAGTGAGAAAGCTGAATTTTGCATAATGATAGCTCAGTTTCAATTACAATACTTGTAAATCTTCAAATGCTACTCATCCTCTGCCCTATTAACTATACTGCAGTTGTCACAATGACATTATATTTAGTTAAGATGTGTTGAGGAATGCTGGAAGTAATATTGAATTCCACCATTAGTTGACTAATTACTCCTATAAAAGAACACATCTTGATAAGACCTCCAAACATTTAACATTGATCAAAGATATAAGATATACATCTTTGATAAGTCAAGAAGTAAAACTGTAAAATAATAAACACAGATACCTCTCACAGTTCTTTTTTCTTCAGAAATAGATGTTTAAAAACAACAGTAACAATTAAATATAATATTCCAAATACTGATACTCCATAGGTAAATATTTGCTTATTATATACTTTTTTCCCTATCTACCAAATGTAACAAGACTTTACTATCAGTAAAAATGTCTTTTGCACTTATGAGTAACTTAATCCTAATCACAGTTGGAAACTACTGAATCTTAGTCATCCTTCTAAAAAAATCAAAGTACCATTGAATTTTAACCCTGAAATTACCAACTTCTTTTATACCATTCAGTACCAGTGAAATCCTTATACTCTATCATACTGAGTAGTTTCATGTTTTTCCCTGTTACAACACTCAGTGTAATAAAATGAAATCATTCATTCTGAATATAAAATAGATAGGGAACTCAGCAGTACTTGGAGGGATTAACTCCAATATTGATTATATTTTTGTTTAATTTTTTGTGTGTGATTAACATGTTACTTGGGACACTGTAACACTGACTTATGCTTTCTCTCCTGTAGCTTAAACAAAAGGTGAGAAGCAAACAAATGTAACTGAAATTTTCTTAAAACTTTCTCTTAACCCACAAGGATACTCCTCCATCATTCTGCATTTCTTGTAAAATAAGATTTATAGATTTCCGTGGATGAAGATTAACCAATAATGTTGCCTCTAGTGTGTTTCGAATAACTCGCTCCCGAAGCTTCTCTGGACAACCTGTTCAGGAATATGGTGAAACAATCTTGTGATAATACAAACAAGATAATTCTAAATTATTATTAACAAAAATATTCATAATATTAAAGAAAATTAGCTATAGAACAAATTATTTGATTATGAATTGTCACTACATACATGTGTTACAAGCATAGAGTAATTTTTGTACTCCAATTTATCCGATTATGTTAAGTCAAATTGTAGCAAAGATAGTGTAGCTACTTTTTATCTTACAATCATGAAAGGTTGAAAAATTTTATACCAGGACCATTATTCATTCACTATCCTCTTCAAATATTACCTGGCAAACCTGTTAGTGGTTTATAAACAATGTCAAAATATGCTTTGTCTGGTAATTCTTTATTTGGACGAACTTCAACTGGTCCATATACAGCTGACTGCACAACTGTGTCACCTACAAAAATAAAAGAAAATTTTGAAATAAAAATATCCTTAATTGTTTCATAAAGCTCTAAATACTGAACCATCCCTTCATCCAGTACTGTACTGGATAAGCCACATCAACCATTTACTTGCTGTACAAAGAAAGGTCAGACACACCTCCACTTGAAATAGTTTTATTTCTCTAGCAGGGTGATAAATCTGTGGAGCAAATTACCATCTAGTATGGTAAAGGCCACAACTTTACAGGAGTTTAAGAAAAGATTGTTTCCTGTTTGTTGAGGTTTGTTTACAGAATCAGAATCATATGAAAAATACAAAATAAAATTATTTCTAATTCCTGAAAAAAACATGTTACTTCTCCAATTATTTTCCAAATAATTAATTCACACTACAAAATAATTTATCACAATCCATTAAATATATTGAAAGAGCTCTAGCAACTAGACTTTTTTTTTGACTTTTTTTATGGCAAACTCTTACAAACTGTTCCTGACACAACTATTCTAAGATTTAATTTTTAAAAACTGTACTATGCTCATACAATCTTATACAAAATTTGTCTACTTTTGGTGATAACAATCTAAAAGAGAACTGCATTAATATCAATAATAACTTGTGATTGCTTTACTTATAGATAATAATTATCAACCAGCAAAAATATTTTTCAATGATTAGAACACTGAGACCACAGAACAGAGTCAAGGCATGTTATGAAATATTATATGGTTTGAAAATTAACTGTGATATAGCAGAAACTGGGAATTTTGATTAGCACCCAGCTACTACTTGAATCTGTATCTAATTTCTTGACCACAAGTATAATCTAGAGCAAAATATTTTCCAAGTTCATCAGTTACTTGTATAGCTCAGATACGTCTGTGCTTCACCAAAAGTAAATACAATGGCCATAAACTGATTGAACCACAAATATGATTACAAAAATCATTACATAGAAGAAACCAAAGGTTCTTAAACAAATGTGCACAGGACAGGTCCAACTGACCAACCCAGTATTGAAAAGGAATGTTGACAATAATTCCCAATGTGGTAAACACTTAGCACTATGTACACATCCGCTGCATACAAAAAAAAAATCAAATGTGTTACAAAAGTACTTGTACTCAAGATATGTCTGTGAATCGCTATTGTCAGTCTGACTCAGATAAGTAGTACTGCAAAGGTGATGTTCATGTGAAGAATAAAAATACTATATTATACAGTTTGTATAACCTCTCGTACCACCAAGATGCATATCTACAGTTTTTTAGAATCACTGCATACTGTATCTGGTATTTACTCTCTTCTACTATGAACTGTCTCTAAATCACCAATTTAAGGTAAAATGAATAGCTGAAAGCTGTGAAATCAAACACATAATACCAAGATGAATGGCATTTTGTAAAAGATCATAGCATGTGCACTTTGACTCCTACCCATGCACATAGGGCTAATTAATAAAACAAGAGCCAGGAAATGATTTAGAAGCCTATAAACCTTTATTATCTATAACATTGTCCCAAAAGCACATAAATAATTCACCTTATCAGGAAAGTTACACAGTGGAATGAATCAAATTATTGCTACACCTGTAACAGTCATTTTTCAGTAAATATAAAAACTGAATTGTATAGAAAAAACTGAGAATTAGAAGTTATCACAAATGTATACACATGTTAGCTGAGTAATTATGTTGTCTCCTACAATACTGCCAAAACAAGATTGCTACAGATGTAACATTATAAAGTAACAATTAAGATAAAGTTTGGAATAAGATGGGCCAAATTTAATAAAATTAAACTTTCATCTTTTAACTTTAAATAAATAGCTGTATCTTCAAATCAGATAGTTAGAAACACATACATATAGTATTACTAATAATTTTAGATTGTTTACTTATGAAACAGAATAAAATTCACTGAAAACATTTTAATGAAGGAAGCTGCATTGCAATCTAAGGCCAAAAATGAAAAATATTTAAAATTTAATATTAAATAAAACATATTTCTTTTTTTTTATGATGTATGAAATACTAATGATGCATTTTATTTTTCTTGAAATAGAAGATAAATCTTGTTCACTGTAACAAGTATTTCTAAGAACGTCCACAAGCTGAATAAATTAAACTTACAGTTTGTAAATTGACCAATATTTGATGTCCAAATTTCTGACCCAAAATAACACTGACACAAGTTAGGAATAAAAGAACCAGTAAAAAACAAAACCTTATTTCAAATATTATCACAAAATCTGTTTAATAATACAACACTTATAAGCTCTTAATTAAGTTTCAAGCAATATATATAAAATTACAAAGCTTCATAGTGTCTGAATTATGTGATAAAAGTTATCTTTCCTTTGATGATTTAATTTGGTACCAGCTGAAAAGATTACAACTCAGTTATTGACATAACCTATGAATATTATCAATTTATTACAAATTATATTGCAATATATAAATTTACTAATGACTATATATACTGCGACAAAGACCTCTGTACCACCCAATATCAAGTCATTATGTTAAGTGGTATTGTTAAATCTAGACCTAAGCCACTGCAGTGTAATTATTCATTGGAGCTATTACTTCTAGGCCTAATTGTAATAATACTTCTACCTTGAGCTACAATAGCCGATCCATCTGGTCGAGAAAGATTGCTCAGTTCAGCAGATAATGTTCGAATGGACTGTGTTTCATTTTCTTTATTATCACTCAACATAGTAAAACTACCGATTTAGGGACTTAAACTTAGTCTTGTATGGTTTATTAACGCTGTGATGATTCCACGTGTTTTTATCGCCACCTATTAGCAACCTTTTTACGAATCACTACAAAAGTAGGCTTAAATTGTTAAAGTTATATTAGTATCAGATACGTAGAGAATATTATTTATAAATCTTATTTTAAAAGTTATAACAAAAAAAATTTTTTTGTTTGTTTCAAAAATTTCTCGCGAATCTACAAAACTGGACTCTACGAACAAGAGTTCCTAATTTTGAAACGATAGGCTACATGGAAGGTAGATCATCAATAACGTTATCCACTGCCTACTTTTTGTCTACTCTACACGAATAGGTGATTTGATCGTAACTCTTATAATGCATCCATGGTCCCAAAGTAGGAAACGCGTTTTTGCGACAACGAGGCCCTAGTTGTAAACCATTGGATTCACAATCCGAAAACGCTATTGCTATACTGTTGCTCTTTCGTTAAGATAGTTATTTTGGATTACCCAGTTCATGTTAGAATAATAAATTAATGTTTCCGATACGGTGCATTACATCCTCTCACATAAATAACTATTCTCGTGCAGTGCTGCCCTCTATATGCAAAACATTTTTTTTTCGCACACCACATGCTTTGAAACTCCCACCTATCTGGAATGACTGACTCTAATGAGTCTCGCATGCTAATTACCATGCGACAACCCTCCACTAATAAGAGGTGACACATGTGACTCTCTGTATTCAACTCCACTGAATCATCACTTCTGGTTTGGCAGTATTGTGTTATAAAGTTCAGATTGTGCTCTTTTCAAGTGTTTATTTTTTTCTGTAAATTTCTCTCAATAAGTTTATTCTTTGTTATACTGTTACGTCTCCGTTCGTTAATTAATTTTCCGTAACTTTGTTCCGACGAAACTTTAGCGACACAAGTCCTTTCTTAAATAAAACTGGTTTATTCTTTCCGAATACAACTTTACGATACACTTAATTTCAACAGTCGCTCTATAACAAACGTCTCACGTGCTCGACTTCAACAATACTCCGTTCAATTACACACTCTCTCACTGCAGTTCAATTACTCACTGTCTCTCCGTCGCTTCGTTGCCGGTGTTATATACACAAGACTACACTATATCTAGAAAGATCACGAGATTTAAGCAAAAGACGTGAAAGTTCGAGAATGACGTGGCGTGATACTAGTCACGTGACCTCGATGTTGTAGCAATACAATAGTGATATTTGTAACTTGTTGAGTTATTTCAAAGTGGAATCATTTTATATTTCTACCCAGCTATGGAACTTATTATTTCATTAAAAAACTTAATCTGTTTCTGCCAACACATTTGTGTTTGGTTATTAATTTTACATTATGAATTCTATGTTTCGGCTTCGGGGGTTATATGTTTTATTATCACCTTTACACAGGCTTCGGGTTATGGTAATCCGCGGGAAGATTTTCGGCTTTACTTCCTCGGGAGATTGATCGTCCAATGAACTAACTTTCGTCGGGCCTCGCATCGAGTTTGGGGTTAACACATTTGAAAAACAGTCCACCAACTTTGGAAAGATAAGACGTTCTACTGTTATGGTTTTTGAATAATTTTATTGTTAATGATATTATCTATAATTATTTGGGTTCCATAACATAAGTTTCATTAGATGGGTTAATAAATACTCATAGTCAAGTTCAGGTTAGCAATTAATCTTAGTTGTATCTGTTCTCCTATACCATTCGCTTAGGCTTACTATGGTCTTTGTTATTTTAGGATTACTTTGTAATTCATTTTATTGGTATATCAATCATTAATTTAGCTATATTGTTTTTCTTCCATACATCATGTCTCATTCATATGTTATTGTTACCACACACTTCCTTAATTTTATACAGTCACGTCTATTTCATTTTTGTTATTATTTATCTTTTATCCTTCTTCCTATTCACTTGGTTTGTATGGAAATGGTACCCTTGAGAGAGTCCACACAAACTTCTCTCAGTACCAATATTGTACATACTTGTTGTTAGGCTAAGTTTTTATTTTAGTGCTTAGTGATATCCTTTGTTCTACACTGTTCAATTAGGCTTCACAAGTATATATTTTTGGTTTAACTGTAGTTCTACTTCCGGGTTAATCAATAATTAGGTTAAATGTCCTGTTCAATTAGGCTTAATAAGTGTCTGTTAATGTTACTTTCAGATTACCCATGGTTCTATTTTATGTATTTATAGGTTCTTCAATACTTAAGTTAAAAATCTTCAACACATAATATTACATACTCATTACTCACTATACAATTTCTTAACTTTTACACTATATTGACTACTTTATTTTCGTCTTTCTTTATCATTTATACTTTTTACCATTAATTTCGTTTAACTTATAATTTGTACTTCTTACCATTAATTTAGTTTTTGAGGGCCCCTGGGGGCTGTGATCCACCCTACCTGCTCCAAATATTGCTCACTTTCCTCCTATAATGGCTGAACCCATATTCCAATGATCTAGATTTTGTCTGTTTTCCTCCATTTACTTCACTTCTTTGTCTGTGAATTTTTTTCCTTCCTCCCTTACCCATTGGGTTTGAATTGTAATTCGATTGGCCTTTTTTTATTCCCTGTCTTCTTCCCATGATCACTTCCGGGTGTTTTCACTCTGATCATGCAATTTCCCTTTTACCTGCATGTCCACCCTGCCATCCACTGGAGGTACTTCATATGTCGATCACAAGGTCTACATCTCGTACTTTCATCTCCCATTCTCTCCTCTGGGTAGCTATTTCTTTATTGTCGGGGTACTGTCATCCATCTGTTGCCACCCTTCACTCTTTTATGAGAGTGTGACTGGGTAAGTTACTTCTTGGTATATATTACTCTTATGTTTCAGGGTCATGTCCCTCTTCTTTCTTTATGAATCCTGCTCTGTTGAGAGTAGTGTCTGTCCAGGTATACTTAAACTATCAAAAGCTGCACTGTAAAGCCATGATGACTTTACAATTATAATTCTATGACCACACATTGTACATTGTGGAGATGGGGTGTTCCACAAGATCACTTGTAGGTTTATTTTTGCAATATGTTTGTTTCATTATTTTGCCCATCCCTGCCATGCTTTGTATTGAATAAATTGGTATGGTCTGCTTTTTAAAATTGGGTTTTGTGGTCACCCATTGAACTGTCTCAGATGTTGTTTTTCCTCTGGATTCTCCACCATGCTTTCTCTGCCCTTTTCTTCTAGTGGGGTTTTGGAGTCCTCACAACTTTCCAGTTCCAAACTACTGGGGTGGTGGACCATGGAGACGTCCTTCAGAATGTGTTAATGAAATACAAATATTATATATATATATATAAATGACTACAAAACTCTTCAGTTGAGAGCAGGGCAGTGGTGTTCTGCTGGTGTAGATGTCATGATATCCCCTACTATGTAACATGGAAGCTGTCCAAATTGCAGTTCAGCCCTTGATTGGGATCCCTCATCCTACCTCCACATGGATGTCAGGTCCCAGTGGCTGGGTTTTGGAGTTAGAGCTGAACAAATCAACATAAGCCCTCACTTGTGTATCACAGATATCTCCATTTCCTCACTCATTTATATATATTTTTACTCCATCTGTGTTATGGGTCACAGTAGAGGTACTTGCAGATTACTATGGTTCTTCCCCTTCCACTATCCGTCAATGCTTATTATTCCGAGGATGTTACTGCACTTGGGGTACTTACAGACATTATATCTTTGAGTGAGATGATTTACATTACATAGACATCTTTTTGATGCTGAATGTTCAAATTGACTGTGGAAATTTTGTGTATTACAACGTTGTATCGAGAAAGAATAAACTAGTTTTAATTAATAAAGACTTGTATCGCTGAAGTTCCTCGGAAACAATTTATACCGAAAATTACAAACAAGCAGATAGCAACAAATTAGTGTCAGAGAGTGGGATGGAAAACGAAAAAAAGGAAGAAGGTGGAAACGAGATGTGGCAAATCAAACTACAGCTTACCAGATTTGATGGCAGCAATAGAAGAACAGCAAAAGAAACAAGAAGAGAGATTACAGCAGTTGTTGGAGGAAAAAGAAAATAAACAAGAAATGAAACAACAGCAGTGGCAAGAAAACCTGCAACAGTGGCAACTGGAACAGCAAAATAAACAAGAAAGACTACAACAGTGGTTGGAGGAGAGAGAGAAAAGAACAAGAAGAAAGTCTCCAACAGTTAAAAGAAAGCCAGCGTACACAAATGG